CATTATTATTTTTAAATTAACATAAATTGTTTCAGATTATGGCTTCTCTCAAAAAATTTTGAGAGAGACTAAAAATACTCATTTAGTCATTGTATTTTTGAATAAGCATAACAAATAATATTGCGAACATATGATTAAATATTTTACCCTCATTTTAAAGTACGATGACAATATTTTTGGACGAAAATCATGACTAAGGACAAGAATTTTGATTAATAAAATGTTAACAATAAGAATACGATAAGAAGAAAAAAGTTGGATATAAGTGTTATAATGAATAAAAGTTAATAGCTTTTAATGTAATTAAAATATAGGGTAAATATAACCACCTTATCACTAATCTTTCTTCACTAGAACGACGACATTAAAAAGTATCATCAAAGTAAAACATTTGAATCTTAATTAAATATAGTTATTAGAGGAGGGACTACGCTAGTCTGTCAGGGTCATTCGCACAGACTCTGAGCAGACTATGAGAGGGAGGACATTTTTTTTGTCCTTAAAAAATGGATGTGGACCCCCTTGTTTGAGAGATAGTCTGATCAGGGTCTGTGCAAATGGCCCTGACAGACTAAGACCCTGACAAACTATCATTTTCCTTAGAAGAGAGTCCAATCATAGCAGAACGTGAACACAATTGAAAAACAAGAGAATCAAACATTGAAGGTCCACAAATACTTTTATTTTACCTCTTTTATTTCATGATTCTTCATTTCCCTTTTTTGTTACTTTGCTTAAGATTCTAGATTTTCATTTCTCTTCTTCTTTCAGGATAGGTTTATGTATTCTCCATTTCCACTTTTATTTTTTATTTTTGTCTCCCTTTTCTCCTTAATTGAAAGTTAGGGTCTGTTTGATTGCAAGAATGGAATTTAGGTAAAATAAAATAAATTGCAAGAAATTGAATTGTCTAAAAATTGTTTTAGTGAGAATTGTCAATTATTAGTATTTGATTGGTATAATTTTACACATGAAAAATGTTGAAATAAAAGTGTCTTTTTGGTGTTCGTTTGACTTTATTTTTCATGAAAATTATCAATTTAAAGAATATCATCTTTTACAAATGTTCGTAAAATTTGTTTCTATTGCCAAAAAACAAAAACAAAAAAAAAAGATGGAAAACAAAAAACCACCAAAGTGGTAGGAAAACCAATTCAAGGAAAACCAAGAAATGGCCATTGTGTGGGGGCAAAGCAAGAATTCCAATTGCCAAGAAAATTTTTGCTATCAAACAAGCAAAAAGTGGAAGATAGAATTCCCTTTCTATTTTCCTTGAAAAAAATGGTGTATTAAACATAGCCTTATTGGATCCTAGGCGACCCATGTTGGACGAGACACTGCGAACAAATTCTTGATAGCAAGCGGTTAAGAAAAATTGCACTAAAGATCTTAACAATTGCTTTTGAATTTTAGGATTTGTTCTGCGAAGCTTCAACAAACTGAGGATGCAATTGTACTAGGATTTGTGTATGGATATTGTGCATAAAGATTACAGTAAGATGATGTGCTAATGCAGTTATCTATCCTTTATTTGTCACTTTAGTAGGTATTTGAATTTGGAGAAAAACACATTATAACTTTATTTGTTTTCATGTTAAGTTATATGAATAATGTTATTTGTACGTAATCAATTATATAATGATTTACATACAGATGATGTGTCAAGATAGTAAGGGAAGTCATGTGTATGTGTACCATTATTTAAACATAATATGTACATATAGCACAATTAATATAATATAATGAGGCTCCTCAATTTATCATAAATTTATATTAGCATGTCTAAGGACCACTCGCTAGTTTTATGAATTTAGGTCCAAGTTGATGCAAACCGAAGTTCGGTCCACATTTTCATTTGGATTGCTACATGTAACCTTGGTAGGGGTGGGCGCGGGTCGGTTTGGTTCGGTTCTCTTTAGAATCGAACCAAAATTTTCGGGTATCTAGTAAATAGAACCATCGGGTCCAAATATAATTATGGAACCGTTCGGTTCGGTTCCGTTTGGTTTTGTACTATAATTAAATTTTTTAACATTTATAATAACATTATATAAATACAACTAATAATACATTCAATGATTTTGGAATGTCAGAGGCTAGTAGACTACTTTATTCAAATGATCGCTACGGTCAAAACTTCGATCGACGGAGGTCACAGTTTCGATCGGAGGTCACAATGTCGACCGACGATTGTATAGGTTTTGGAATGTTAGCGAGGCCGCGAGAGTGAGTGCGAGAGTCGAGACAACGTTATGCACTTTAGTGTAGGTGTTTATGGTTATTTAGTGGATTGGATCTTATTGGGCTAAGAAATTAAACAATAAAATGGGTAATTGGGCCAAAAATTAAAAAAATTAGAAATGAAACAAATTATTGGGCCAAAATTTTGGATTTAGAAATAGTTAATTTGTTTAAAAAAAATTAAAATTAAAATAATTTGATTTACTCAATATAAAAAAAAATTAGAAAGATTCGATTTTTATTCGGTTTTTCGGTTCTTGGTCTAGAACCTAACCGTACCCGTCGTTTCTCAATTCAAATACCCGTTTGGGTATTTAATTTGATAAGAACCGTCGGGTTCGTTTCGGTTCGGTTCGGGAGATTTGTCCAACCCTAAACCTTGGTACAGATCTAAACATCGATTCTTTCGTAAAGATCTAATAATAAAAAAGAAAAACAGAAAAGGAAAAGTTGAATTCCTTCCACACTTCCAGAGCGATTTATCAATAGCCAATGAGCGATCAGTCGATTTCAATATTTAACCAAATTTAATTTTAACTCGGTTCTGGGTACAATTCAACTCAATCCACATTGTTCTAGATTTGGTACCATTTTTCTACTATGAATCTAAAAATACGTGAGTCGTACTACGACGATTTCTTTCGTATTCTCCTGATAAATCAAAAGTAATTACTATAAATTATATTTGCACGATTAAGTTCGACCCATTAGCTTTAAAAGTTTGATCTAAACTCAACTTGGACCCACATTTTATTTTGATTACACATATCCCCCTTTATATCCCTTCAAAACAAAACACTTTAATTTCTACACTTGTATTCTCAACTACATATTCAAAAAATAAAATATTTTACACATAAATTCAATTATTTTTTTATTTTTTTTAACTATGCATTCTTTAAAAAATTATTACTCAAAGCATCATTTTTTCTCAATAATGAATTTCAAATTGGGGCATAATTTAGGGGGTGTTTGATAGATATTTTTATGTAAAAATATATTTTAGAATAGTAAATTGATGTGAAATGTGTGGTTGAAAAATAAGAATTTTTTTTTGATTTACATGTAATATTATTTTAATAAAGAATGTGTGGTTGAAAAAAAGAGAGAGAAAAATACATTTAGAAGAAAATGACTACCAAACGAGCTTTTAGTTTGAGTTCAACCTTTACACATTTTTAGGATAAATATAAGAATGCTCA